TTGATAATCTATCTTCTCATTTTTAAAAACAGAAATATCTGTTCATCTTCAATCATTCAGCATCTCCTCATTCACCATATACTTTCCTGAAGAGTATCAAAGAGTCCTGCCATCTTGTGCTACACTGAGAACCAGATGATACGCTGGTAACTGGTTATTTGGGTATAATGGAGAAAAAACAGTAGTAACTTCCTAAGTTGGTACTTCAGCTTGTGGCCTGTGGAATCATCGCTTGTCTGTGAGCTTGAGGGTAGGAAATCAAAATTGGGGGTCAAGACAGTTGAAGCAGAGCCAATTTGGATCTTCAAGGCCAAGTCTAAGAGGCACCCAGGGTATGAGCTCTCACAGCACAGCTTTCCTTCTGAGCCCAGATGAGAAGCAGCCAAGCAAACATTTCTAAAGAATTGCAACTGAACCTGAAAGCACTGACAACTGTCAAACCATCTTGCCAGTTCTTTCCAGAGACAGAATCTTGAAGTTACATGTGAACCTTCTAGATCTAGACTAGAGGTTGTAAACTAATGGACCATGCACAAAGATGCCTTATTTGTCCCTCTAAGGGTTTTATATATTTTTGAATTAGTTGGTATTTAAAAATCTAAAAATTTTGTATAAAAAATAGATTTTGTTTGCCTTGAAAAACAAAGATGTGGCCATATAATGTCCTTAGGTCAATAATCAGCTGAGGCTGAGTAGTAAGTAGCTACCTTCTTTAGACATGTGGTTTGCAGACAATACCATCTGTAAAACCTCTTTAAATCCAACCAATTCATTCCACAGACAAAATGGAGTTTTGAAAAACTATTTAACCTGTCCACATTTTAATGGTAGTCAAAATCAGAAGGCAAGGTGTTCTGAATCCTAGTTCAGTGATCTTCAGTGTGTACTGTTATCCTTCCCCTAGAGAATCTGAGATACTAAGACATTACCTGACTATAGTCATTGTGACAAGGAGAGACAAAACTGAGAACTAGCTTCTGCCTTGGTACCATCCTCCATTTCCTTTGCTGGACCAGATATTCCCAGGGGCTACAATCCACTAGGGAAATAGGCCAGAAACTCAAAGTCCAAGCATTCTTTAGGTTGCTGACCACACATACAGTCTAAAACTATCTGTGTTCTCTGTATAAAGCACTGCACATTCCCAGCCTCCATAGATGCTCTCACACCCAGCTGGGTTATGAACAAACGTGCTGCTTTTTCCTTTGTTAATGCCTTTTCTCTACCCACACAGGCAGTTAGGGAACAACTGCCTCCGCGGAACATTGATGGTGGAGGAGAGGTTATAGAAAACAGTTACAGATGACAGTGGGTCAATAGGAGCTCTGAACTCTCTTTCTGACTCTCTTCTCAAACAGCAAATAGCTATAGCTATGGCCTTCAATAAACTACTTTTAAAATAGTACAAGTTCTATCTAGATTGACATAGTTTAACACAACGGATGTCCCGATGTCCTAACCATGTTCCCCTTGATTGTAGTGATAATGATTTGTGAAAATGTTTAGCTTACATGGCCACAAATACACAGTATTGTAAGTTCATTATACCTCAGGTCTAGGAATCTCACCTAGAATTGTCCAAGGGAGTATTTGATTCCCTGTATATCTTGGAGATACCAATGACAAAACTATAGTCTGTGTAAGTAATTAGGATAAGAACTGCATGAAGAATGGAATAGTAACAAGGGAAACATTTCACGTGAGACCATTCTCTGTAAAGGTGGTAGGAATACAAAATCAACACTGTTTTTCTTAAGGAGAGGAGAAAGCAGGTGGTAACTGACCTTGGCTGGAGATAGCAGGGCTGAATAGGGCTGAGTGGGTACTCAGAATCAGAGATTCTGACTTGTATAAAGAACCAAATACGAATGCACTGTCAAAGGGCAAGTGCTCAAACACATATAGCATCAATGACAGCTAAAGCTAAAGAACTTGTTAAGGATTGTGGAACAGTTCTTCGTGCTTCCATGAAGGAGACTGCTGCTAGGAACCAGTAAGTATAGAGGCAAATTCATATTTGTGCTTCCCTGTGGGCACTGCATTTTGAAAATTCCCTGGAGTCTGTATCTGGCATAAATTAGGTTGTTATATTCAAGTTCCCAAATTCATCAATCTCCAACCCACACATTTATTCTGTATAGGTCTATTGATCCTGGCTATTGCCCAGCCTCCTGGGAGCACAAATGAAGTATCAGGCAGTTGACCATGGGTCAAAGATGACTTGTCTGTTGCCCCTCAGGTAAGAGAGATTTATTCTCATTGAGGCAGAGGTTTTACTAGATACACCATTTAGACTTCAATACTTTTCCTGCTTACAGAATATACATTGTATTTTCTCAGAACTAAATGACAGTGGCAATAATCACTCTATGAAAAGCTTTTTAAATGTGTTTTTTTCTCTTTTAACCCTCAACCTCCTCAAAAAGCTGAGGCCATTCATGTTTTTTCAACTTTCTTAAGAAGGAACCCAGGAAACAGGCTAGGCTCTATATAACAGAAAAGAACTATAGTTCAGGGAGGAAACCTATTAGTCTCTTATTCATTTGACACAAAGAAACCTTGGATTAGGGCTGGAAGCCTTTACAATAGGCATATACTCAGCTCAGCATTAAATCACATTTCAGTGGTAGGACCAGGAAAGCTTTGGTAAGACGTTTTGCAACTGCTTTGTCAATAATACGCAGTGTTTTGGTACCCACATTCAATGAGTGCAGGCTAATTTGGTTCTAGGTAAGGCTTAGAAGAGGAAAAGACCCAAATCTTCCTAATCTAGTACTGATAACTCAAAACCATGCAGAGTTTTTAATTACCAGTTTTCACGAATAAAGTACAACAGTGGTGAGGAAGTGGCAGCTCTCCCAAATGGCAGCATATACAGGAAGAATCACCATTATGTATATGATGATTTGCAAAAAAGCAGCTTGGAAAAGCTTTTCCAATGTTGTATTCAATAGCCCTTCATACTGCTGGTTTAACTATTTGGTTAATTCTTTATCTTCCTGTTTAAGGCTACTGGTTGCTTAGCTATTAAACTAGAATCTTAACAGAGGCTATCATAGGACTAAGACTAATACCTCCGCTTCCTAACATGCTTTTCATTTTAAGTCTGTGCCTCAGACTATCACTTTTTGTATATCTTCTGTTCTACTGAACAGATCATCCAATGGATAACAACTATAAAATTTGGACAAAATGCAAAACAGTACCCAGAGGCACTGGGGAATGAAAAAAAAATTCTGTGCAGACAAATTCTGGAGAGAGGTTGAAACTTAGAAGAAGGGAATGGCACATGGTGAATTCCCAATACTATGGTTTTTAGGCTGATAGAAAATTGCAGTCTTTCTGTTGAAGAATCAGAGAAAACCATAGAATAAGAACAACCACAGCTACTTTCCATAGTGGAAAGTGAGGGGGGAAATATCAGAAAACAGCCAAAGAAAGAGGGCTTTAAATTCTGTGCATAAATTCTATCCAAATCCATAGCTGATCCCTGAACCATACATGTGCAGGATAGTTCAGCTGAAGACAAAGTAACTGAATTGATATTTGAGCTGCTGCCCAAGACAGTTTCCAATGAAGTTAAATGCCTGTTAACCACAAAATCAGCACTCTTCAGAGGAATATAACAGAATACACAACAATAACATGTACAACATTCACAGTATAATCTAAAATTACTCAATATTTGAAGAATCGGAAAGATAGGGCTTTTTCTCTGGAGAAAATACAAACAATGAAGATCAATTATGAGATGATTTGGATGCTGGGTTTAGCAGAAAAGGATTTTAAAACAGTTATTATAACTATGTTCAATTAAGTAAAGGAAAACATGTTTGTAATGGATAAAAACAGTAAGTTTCATCAGAGAATATAAAGCAGTTATTATTAGTAACCCATAGTTACTGAAGTTCTGATGACAAATGAGATGGGAATTAAAAAGCAACTCATATTTAAAAGTACCTTTGGTCAGTTGGAGATTTTTGTTTAAAATGTCTTTTATTTGTACCAAAACTAAATTGCAAATTGCTTACTGACACTACAGTTAGGTAGTTTTTGCTCTTTGGGAGACTCAATTGGAGAGGTAGAAAGAATTTGGGGAAGTCTGGTGGAGAGATTTTTGCAAACTGGTTGTATTTTCATTTAGTGAGGATGTAAAGGACAGAACTTTTCTATTTGGGATTCCTGATATTCAACATCTGGCCTGCTACTGGTTCCTACATGGAGCAATTTGTCTTTTGGAAGGTATAGCACAAACTATGAAATACTCCTGCCAGGCATTTACAAAAGGGGGCAGGCTACAGAAAACAGAAAGTGTTTTTATAAAGAGAAAAGTAATGTTCAGAGAGAAAGCATAGAGAGCATCAGTCTTATTTTCTGCCATGATTCCAACATGGCATTACTAAAAGTAAGTATTTGGAAGAGACAATCCCAAGTCCATTTAGGATCTCACACTTGTTCTTCTCTCCTTTGTTCACTGAATTCCATATTCTCCAAGATACATACTTCAGAAACAGAGCCAGCTCCCTACCCCAAAGATTCCTGGTACTTTCAAAAGCAGGACATGATAGGAAAGGACACATATTGGCTTCTGGATACAACAACAGGACCCAATTCACAAAAAGTGACAATAGCCATAATCAGAAAGGTTACTAACAATCCTGAAGTTGTTAGTTTTGGAAATGAAGGTGATAGTTCTGGGGCAAGGAACATGATTATTCAGTTCAATTAAAACAAGTAAACAATGTCCAAAATGAGAGAATAAGAGCTCCTAAAGAGTGTTACTGGCAAGTTTGTTATACAGACCAACTAGACTCCATTTTCAGTGTTAAAATGGACCAATTACTCTTTGAGCTAAACCTGATTAGTTACTTGATTAGAAACAGAAAAAAAATTGAAGCAGAAAAACTATAAACTCCTCTTTTTATCGTAGCTTTTCCACTAGAAAGCTGACCACCGTACCATATCATCCAACAATATAAAATTCTAGAAACTTTACAAAATTCCTTTTTAAAATTTATTTTTTGTTATCAAAGAGAATGTCCAGAAACATTGAGTACTAAAGAGACTGTTCATGGCATTGTTTTACAAAAGTTCCTAATGGAATGTGAATATTTATTTTCAGATGTATCCTTCACTTATTAATGATGAGGTGGATAAACTGGTGCAATTACTTAAAAAAAAAAATTCCAGACAAAAACATCCATTCTCATTCTGAATCTGTTGACTGGAGTGAATTCAGTGGTTTTAATACCACCACTGGCTAATAATTAACCTCCCTAGAGTAGGGAGCTATTCAGGTCTTCCCATTAGGTCATATAGGTCTCTCAGATATAGGCACCATGTTTGAAATCTCACACAAAATGTCTGTGTCACTTAAATTACACAATGTGGCAGTGTTTGTTTCATGGGGACATAATCTTGAAAGAAGGGGCAAAGTAGAAAACAATCTGCATGTTACATGTGAGTACATTATTGGACTGTGCATGGATTCAGGGCATTAGAGCCCTTGGTAGAGAGGAATTCCACCAATGAAGTGTGAGTTCTCAGTTGTTCCTGGTGCTGAGGGTGTCTACTCATTTAACCAGGTGTTGCTGGGCAGGGCCTTCTTCATCTACTGTTTGGCTCAAATGGACTGAACTGATTTTGGCTGTCTTTCTCTTCCATCTAAGCTTTATTTCTCAGCCTCAGGATATGTGGGGTACTTGACCATTTCTATCTTCTCTCGGACTTTGTAGGAGGGATATAGGCCCGTCCTTCCCAGTTTTCTGTTGACACCTTTGGAATAGCCATCCCAATGATTTCCAGCCACACCAATAATATCTCCAGGTTCCATGGGGATTTCATCTGCAGTTCGAGGTTGGTGAGGATAAATGGCAATCTGGTTGTGGGCATTTTGGCCTCCAAAATAGTAGATATCATCCAAAGAATGGAAGTTTGCAGAAGCATCAGGATGCAGTGTTTGCATGATTTCATATGCAACTCGACAGACCTTTCGGGGAAAAAAAACAACAACGAATATTTTTTAGTATATGTAAGATCTCCTTCATAGCAATCTGAAAGCCCTTGGCCAAAGAGAGTAGGACAAAATTAAGATTAGGATTGAGAGTGTAAGTAGTGGATTCTAGTCACCAGTTTTCAGTCTGTTTGCTCTCAGATGATGGTACAAATCACTCTTCCTGTGCTTATATCATTTTATTTTTAAACATAAGAGATTATTACAAGTAAGGTCTTCAGGAAAAAGTCAGGTGTATCACACAAAGTACTTTAAGAACATGAATCAGTTAATTCCAATAAACATTTAAGAGCCACACAGTACTCCATGTTGAATGGTATAAAACTGAATAACACATAATGTATGCCCTTGAAAAATGTAAGGTTTAGGATTAGAATTATAAATTCTTTACACAAATACTACTGTTCCTTTACCTTCATTCAGTGTTAATCATATACTTTTTTCTGCTAAATTGGACTTGATGTCAGAACTGTTCTCAACAAAAATTCAATTACAATCAATTAACATTGACAAGTAAGCTAAACCATGTCTGCCATTTTTATTCTCCAGAGTTTTTAGCATTTTATAGAATGCTCTATAGATAGTAGCATTCTAGGACTGAAACAAGATGGCTAGGGCTTTGGGGAAAATGTATCTACCTGATGCATTTAAAGCTACTTAAAAGATTCTTCTGTCCAAAGAATACCTATCATGCCCACTGGATGGCAGCTGAAATTTCACAATCTGAGCTTCATTCCTTGAGTTTAATGCTTGGTGATAAACTATAATAATCTTCACTGATATACATATAACATTTTAAGGAATTAATAAGTATATTCATTATAGACTAACCGGGTTTTGAAAACTTTTCTAAAAATGAGAGAATACTGTCATTTTGCTCAGAGACTTCTTCCATTATCCATTGTGAACACAGAATTCAACTCAGGTAAAATCTTCCTAAATCTCCAACTCTGGTTATCTTAGTTGGTGATGTTTATTATTCCTACACTAAAACTTTTGCCTTTATTTAAAATGATACTACTACTAATAATTATTAATCTGCTTAGTGGAGCAATTTAGGATTACCTAGCAGTCTTTTAAAACTTTGCCATTCATGAGATCAGAAACTGAATGGAGATGCTCCTTCTTAACTGCTATGAGCAAATGGAATGTGATTAGGTTAATCATCACTTTAACTTCTTCAGGAATCTGAATTTCAGGACTAGAGGGATGCTATTCAAATGCTACATGTAATTTGCAAATGAAACTAAATTTAGATAGTATTTTTAATTTTGCAAATAGGGACTAAAAATATAGGAAGATTAAATGATCTGCTTAAATTCTAGTGCTAGAATTTCAACTAGACATAGAACCAAGATAATGACTTTGCTTTCAAGTTTGCTACTTTGTCAACAAACTAATTTTATATTGGGAATGTCATGGTACAACTGAAATCACTGATTGAATACTAAGACTCTAACAAAATGGAGTTCAACACTATTTGGAACCAGAACTTCAAATTCAGCCAAAGGCCCACAGATGGCAAACAATATCAAGTGGAGACTGGAAAGGAAAAAACCAAATAATTAAAGCAGCTCCAATAATAGCAAAGTACAGTAATAATGAAAGAGGCTGATATTTACTGAGTTTTTGATGTTAGATGTTGTTTTTAGGTTTTACCTAATTAAATCCTCTCAGTAGCCCCATAAAATTCTATAATACTCATTTTATAGAAGTCAAAGGTCAGTTAAGGAATCTGCCGAAGGTTAACACTATTTTTAAGGAGATCCAGGTTTTGAACCCAGGCAGTTTATGTATGATTGTTAACTGCTAAGTATATTTTTCTTGTAGACCTTATTCTCCAGGTACGGTTTATAACATCAAAAAGATATAACATAAGGCCAAGCACTTGGGCAAACCTGAGAGTCTTCTTTTCAGAGGCCCTGCACCCACACTTCAATTATCCCTAGCTAGGAATGCAGGACCTTGCACTGCCCTTGGGATGACCATGATGTGGCAATGAACCCTGATACATTTTCTCCTCTCCACTATTAAGTGTATCACTCTCATTAAAACAACATTGCCCTTAGTCCCACATCCTTAGGGACCTGCTTTCTTTTGGGGAATAATCCTAATAATCAGTTTACATTTTGGTATCAATAGTTGTTGCTGATACAGAGGCCTTCTGGATAACACATGTATTTTCCTAAGCCAAAGAAAAATAAATGGTAGAAATTTCAGACCCTAAGGTGGACCAATATAACGCCCTTTATCCTTCTCATAATAAAGGTGATAAGTAGAGCTGCTGAGCTTAAGGAGCATTGATCATGGGCCAGGCACTGTTCTAATAGTGTGCTTGCAAGTGCTCTTTCTTTCTCTCAACTCATTTGACTCTCAAAATAATCCTTTGAAGTGGTTACTATTACTCTTCATATTTTACAGTTGAACAAACTAAGGCACAGAAAGATTAATTTCCAAAAAATTAAAAAATGTGAAAAGGAGCTAGTAAATGGTAAAGCTACAATTAGTACTCTTTCTGGTTCTCGACCATACATACACTAAACTTGCCTTAGGTAAGTGCCTAGAACTGCCTCTGCCACATGGTAGGCACTCAGTAAGTCATCTTGAATGAATACTGATCCAGACAGAATACAGCCCAGCAGTGGAGATGCAAGTTCATGGGGGATACTTAATTCTTAAGATCCATATAGAACATTGTAAGTAATTAAAGGTTTTCTCTGTGTTAACCATAGGGCAATTTACTGCAAAGGGCTAGAAAGATTACTACAACATTGATGTTTGCATTTAATCACTGGCTTTATACCCTTTCTGAGCTTTATAAATCCAAATCATGTGGCAGGTAAAATGAAGGCTTTCAACTGATGTCAATATTCAGGTTTGATACTTGACAAAGTAACATGACTAAGAAGGGCAAACTTTTGCAAAGTAATAGCTGGTCACATGTAGTATCTTTTATTTCATTTTGCACTGACATGGCACTGTATCAGTTTTAGAACACCACTAAGCATAGAGTGATGAAAAGAGCAAAAACCCTGCCAAAGGATAAAACACAGATATGACTGTATTAAAAAGGAATCAACAACAAAATTCAAAAGGGGAGGAAGGTCCATTAGTCTGAATTTTATTCTGAAGAACAAGTGATTGAGTTTGCAAGAACCTCCAAAACTTTCTCAGAGCAGATGGGATCTTGCCTCACTGGGTGATGCTGGAAGGTCTGTGTACTTTTCCTATAAACTACTTTGTTTGATACTCAATCGGAGAACAGTATCCACTGTTGCTTCATGAGCAATACCTCAAAGGAAATTCTATTCAGAATCATCTGAGAAAATGAATGTAGTATTTGGCATTTCCCTTTGGGCTTTCCAAAATCTGATTCAAAGTGTAATGAAGCCAGTTGTGTTGTGTTGTGTGTGAATCTGGAATTAGACAACAAAGAATGCCACGAGAATGTTGTATTAAGTGCCACATAGGGAAGTGTCACAGGGGGGGGGGGGAAAGTCATTTTGTCTTATGGTAATTTTAATGGTTGAAACTACTGAATAATGTTGATTGCTCTTTAAACACAGTTGATTACTGAAGTCTTTAAAGTGAGCATCTAGAGCCATTTCTGTAAATCAGATGCCAGAGAAATAAAAACTGATTCTAAAACTTCATAGACCACATTTAAAAAATAAAAACTTCCTGATATTTTGCCTATCTACATCTGAGCTGTCAACCACTGCTATTTTTCCAACTATAATTTCATGGCTTAACATTTAAGACAGTTTCATTAAATAAGGAAATAACTTAAATGACAAAGCAGATGCTTTCAGGCATAGGCAGTTTCCAGTAACAGAGAATAAGCTCAGAGTATTTGGTCGGACAGTTTGGAATGTGATTGCATAGCTTTCAAAACTTACTTGATGTTCTTGGACAATGTTAATACTGCCTCTAAATTTCAGATTAATCTGAGGATTGTTCTCTTCAATTAATGAGGCTTTTAGGGCAAACTTGGCTTTGAGAAACAGCACTGCTGGAGGGATTCAGAAAACTAAGAGCAACAATAGTAACAAAATTAGAAAGTAGAGTTGTGTTACTGGCTTTTAAAAACTTTTCATTTAAGGAGAGAGAATTCCCAGACCTGACTTACGGATATACGACCAAGAAAGATGAGCAGCCCTGAGACTGAAGGGCATGGGTCCAGAGCCCTATGAGGAATCTTAATGAAGTTGCCATCATATTTGTGCCAAATATTTCCTCAAACATCAATCAAGCCTTGCATTTTTCCTTCTAGCACGGCATTTCAGACTTCCAGTATTGCCTATAATAGCTCATGGTCAAGAGACAAACTCTTTCTCACTACTGTCATATAGTAAAAAAGTCCTCAGAGGATATCATAGGAGACAGAAAGGCTATATAACTAAAATTTTAGGATTGTCAAAACATTATGAACAAGATATTAAATTTTAGTCACTCTCTAGTCATCCTTAAGAATATTAAATTATCATCAAGAAAAGTTTGAGAGCTGATTGTCCCTTTTTTATTCTGGATTGACACTCTTCTGGATGTAAGGCTTTAGTCTGCTCCCATTTTCTAGCACATCTGTGGCATATATAGGAAAGTATGCAGATAAATTTCCCTAACGTCAGCACATACACGTTTACTTGCATTAGCTAAAGCAAATAATATTACTTATCACTCACCCTTTGGGAATGAAGAACTTTTGTTTCTGAAAATTTACCCTATGGGATGATGGTTCTCTTTCAACAAACTAAAGAAAATAGAGTTGAGGTGACTTGCTGGCATAGAGAAATTAATATGTTGAATGTTACTGATTACTCTTCTTTATAGAGAACTGCTATACCCATCCAATGCACATGATAATCTGGTGGGATTCAAGCATTACTCATGACTATAAGCAGAGGCAATGGAGTCCCTGAATAGCATGTTTCATGCTCCTTCTAAAACATGAGAGCACATGGTCTGAAATGGGGCCATGTGAAAAAGAGCAGCTAAAATAAATACTGTAGAGTCTCTCTAACAGGCAAAGATACTCCTATACCTATCCTATTTCTATATAAATAGTAACAGCAGCTAGCATTGTATTTAATATATTATTAAGTACTATTCTCAATGCTGTAGATAAAATATCTCTTTAATCCTCACAAAACCTCTATTCAGTAGGTATTATTATTACTGTTTTTGCAGGTGGGGGGAAAAAGTCAGTGATAGGCTAAGTAATTTGTTCAAATGTCACACAGCTACTAAGTGGTCAAAGTTGGATTTAAACCTAGTCTGGCTCCAGAGTCCATGTCTGCCTCACTCTTCTTCTCTGCCTACAGTCAATGGCTTGACATTTGATTCTATCAGTAACTTTTTCACACTCCATTGGTGATGATGATGAGACATTCCTGGGACATTTTTTCAAAAAATTCCAACTTTGATTTATGGCAAGGGAATGTCTACAATCTAGCAACCAATTTCATTCATACTGCAAAAAAAATTAAACTGTACTAAATGTATCTTTACTAAAAATATTTTCGAAAAATAGTGGGGTACAGCCAAGAAATGGAAGCAACCTAAGTGTCCATCAGTATCAGTAGATGAATGGATAAAGAAGATGTGGTACATATACACAATGGAATATTATTCAGCCATAAGAAGAAAACAAATCCTACCATTTGCAACAACATGGATGGAGCTAGAGGAGCAACATGGATTATGCTCAGTGAAATAAGCCAGGCGGAGAAAGACAAGTACCGAATGGTTTCACTCATATGTGGAGTATAAGAGCAAAGAAAAACTGAAGGAAAAAAACAGCAGTAGAATCACAGAACCCAAGAATGGACTAACAGTTACCAAAGGGAAAGGGACTGGGGAGGATGGGTGGGAATGGAGGGATAAGGGTGGGGAAAAAGAAAGGGGGTATTACAATTAGCATGTATAATGTGTCGGGGGGCATGGGGAGGGCTGTGCAACACAGAGAAGAGAAGTAGTGATTCTACAGCATCTTACTGTGCTGATGGACAGTGACTGTAATGGGGTTTGTGGGGGAGACTTGGTGAAGGGGGAAGACTAGTAAACATAATGTTATTCATGTAATTGTAGATTAATGATAACAAAAAAAATAGTGGGGTACAAATATGCTCAAAGATTTTTCATTAGATGTGGAATTACTCCACAATCTCAGGGGGTACAGCTGTTAGTCATTAAGAAAGGTTATGTGATAATGTAGGTTATCATGTTTAACAAACTGCTACTTCCTTTATAAATGTAAGGTATTTTTACCGTTAAACTTTTATTCTGAACTCTAACATAAAATGTACTCGTCTATTTTGGGATACAAAATACTGCCTGGGTTTTGCTTTGGTTCAAATGAACAGGAGTTATTTTGGATGAGCTCTGTCTGACTTGCCAAGAGTTTTCATGAATAATGTGACAGGAGCATGACTCTCATCCTTTGGATACAAGAAGCACCACTCTTTCTCCATGTGAATTGCTTCTTTGTACCCGAGGTGTGAAAAACACATTGAGGTTGGCATTATGCATATAATAGGACAAAGTGGTATAAACAATATGCTTCTCAAGCCTAAACAGATTTTCACTACCATGAAGTGACATCCTGATTTCTGGACCAAAATTAGAGTTATAAGGTTATGAAGATCAAAAATTCCATAGCACATCCTTGAAAATGGGGGAAAAATGATTTTCTTTCCAGAATGAGCCTAAAGGTATTATTGAGGAGGACTGGAAGAAGTAAAGCAAACACAGAGCACATGCCTATAAGTCTCAGTGCGTACACACCTGTAAGGTCAGTGAATGTTCAGACGTGTACATATTTACTTAATGTTAGAGCTTTATGACTAGATCAGGGTTCCCAAGAAAGGCAGTTTGGCCCTCCCCCCGACCCTGCAGGGGACATTTGGCATTATCTGGGAACACTTTCAGTTGCTGACTTGAATTGGAGGAGCTACTGGCCAGGAACACAGCTGAACATCCTACAGAGCACAGGGCGGTGCCTCATAACACATCTGGCCCAAACATCAACAAAGCCTAGGCTGCGAAACCCTGGACTAGAGGGATAGACTTTAGGCAGGCCTAAAATCTAGGCCTACAGAGGAGGTGGTACATCTGGAAAAGTGACTCTTGATTCTCTCATTCTAACCATAAGCATTCAAAAATGTGTGGTTATTGATTATTTGCATCTGTTGATCAGGTAGGTACACAGCTAGAATCTCAAAAACAGTTGAGAGGAACTGAGAAGTTTTAACTCCTCCCCACTACCCAGCATGAGAATGAAAAAGGGGACATCTCAAAGACAGGACCCTCTTCCCAGTCAGGGAGAAACATCAGCAGTGGATGCCTCCATGGAAACTTGAAGGCCAAGGAAGTTTTCCCGTTTGATTAGGATCGCTGTGACTCCTTTCCTGTGTAGCTGTCTTTGGGTAGTAAATTGTATTCTTATTCCATATTGAAGGAACTCATATAGCCTTTGCAGGGGTAAGTATCTTTCCAAAAGTCATATCACCATCCCATTGTGACAATGTGCATTGTCACATAATAAAAAAAAACTATTCCTTTGTACTCTCTGAAGTATACTCCTTATGAAAAAGATGTGGCTTCCCTTGTCACATTTTCTCTTCTCTGCTTCTTCTAAGCTTTTAGGTATACATTTATCTTACATGATTTATATTTCCTGATAATCATTCTCTAGCTATTTCATGAGTATTTTGCTCACTAGATTCTGGACTAGGGTAAGATCTGTATCTTCAATTTTCTTTGAAATCCCCTTTTCACCTAGTAGAATTCTAAGCACAAAATAGTCATTTAACAGCTTGTTGAATGAACTCACCAATAATATGCACATAAATGAGAACAGAATAAAATCCACAATAAATATTGTTATGCTGACAATCCCCTGGGCATATAAGGCTATTGGGCCACTCATTAAAAACACATACACCAAGCACACATTAATTACCTGTAACAATTCAACTTGAAGAATGATTATAATATGGTATTGCTTAAATTTAATGTATAGTTTCTTTCCTGTTAGAAATGTAATAGGACTTGAAAAGGAATTACATTTACTCTTTTTATTTTCTATAAAGCAATCAAGTGAAGTAAAATGTTGGGTGTTTAAGCTTCTCAGTATCAGTGCATTGATGTGAAGAAATGGATAGATTCTGGTTACATACTGACTATATGCAAAATCAGAAAGTATTAAGTAAGCTTAATTACTTACTGCTTCTGTTAAATGCTGTGAACAAGCCAAGTACTTTAAACAACTCCAGTAGCTGGCTTCAGAAGAGATGTATTCAACCAATTCTTACAAACAACTAAATATTCAGTGCATTCAAATAGCAATTTTAAAAAAAATTTTCTCACTCTTTCATAAAAGGGATCATTCCCAAATAGTAAGAGAACTGTACCTGAGTCATGATAACTAACATTGAAAGAACCATGAATTTCCTGACTCCAACAGAACCATAATGTTTTTGACATTTAAAAAGGCCCTACCATCACTTACCTGGGATGAAAAAGTACACACTAGGAAGTCTGCCTGGGAGAGAAAGTGTATATCCAGGATCACACCCCGAAGTGAATTTTCTGTGTATCGATTGTGTAGTCCAGCAGACCAAGAGATAGAGTTATCACTAATAAATTCGTAATTGGGGTACCTAGAAAAGAAATAAATTTACAAATAATCACTGAAATCACATCAGAAGGAGGTAGAGCTGCTCCTGTGGCTGAGAGTTCCTCTCTTTCTAACAGTAAGGGAGCTTTAATTATGACATTCAGTAGCACTGTTGACAAAGCATCTATGAATCAATCCATCAGTGGGGGAGAAACCCTTCCGGAGTGCCCTGCAGGTCAAATGTTACTGACATGTCATATAAAGGGCACATATACGCATCAAAATGTCCCTCCTTAATTCATGGCAGAGTTGAAAACAGCTCCTTATTTTCTTTATAATGAGTTTTCAGTCTGTTTTCATATTTGGTCACTGAGCTTTTCCTTTAGAATACAAAAATCATGATTAAACTGCATTGAAAATTTTAATTTAGAATTTGTGGTAATTCAGCCTTGTCTCCCCTAACCCTCATTCTTGAAGCATGATTTTAACTAAGAACATAATGGAGAACTATTCTAATAAGTTCATGAAAGCAAATTCCTTGTAGCTGTCTACCAAGCAATATTTGGTAGTCTTGAGATAGGATGTGTGTTTAAAAATATTAAAACAGCATGCCTTTTTAAAAGTCTACTGCATATTTAAATGATTCTACTGTGAATTGGATGTTTAATTATACTCGAGTGAATCAATTTTCTCAGTGTGTGAGGTAGATCTTCAGAGTTAAGTTGCAAATTTTGGGAAGTTATATAAAAGGGGGGGTGATGTTATATAATTTCATAAGAATTAAATACATTAAGCAATGTAAAGTGCTTAGAAGAGTACCTGACAAGAAGGAAATGTTCCATAAATAATATTTGTGATTGTTAAATATCCTTTCCTCAGACATCCACCTGATTTTATTCCTTACTTCCTTTAGATCTCTACTCAAATATAGCTCTACTGGTGAGGACTTTGGCAATCCTTATCCCTTTTACCTACTTAATTTTTCTTCACAGATCTTATCGTTTGACATAATATACATTTACTGTTGATTTACTGCCTACATCCCTTCCCCACCTCCATCATCCCTAATTGGAATGTAAGTAAGCTCTATAAAGTGAGGCATTTCATCTGCTTTGTTCACTGTATTATTCTCTGCACCTAGAAGATAATCTGGAATGTAACAGAGGAACAATAAATATGTGTTGAAAGATTAACAGTTCTATTTATAAACTCTGAAACATTAGGAGTCACTTTACATGTCTGTGTCCCACACAGTATTTTCCAAATTTTTTTCTTTGCATCCCAGCATCTAGCACTCCACAATGCTTATGTGAGTAAATACATGAATAAGTGAGTGCTACCTGTGTCTGGGACATTTTCCTAATCCCCTAGCTCTTTAACACTTCACAGATACCAAGGAGCTTTCTGTCATTGCTTCTAATAAGGACTGTGATGGCAAAGCTTCTGAGCACTGTTTCAGACTGGTATTCAGTGTACAGATGCATTTGGCCTCATTACTGCTGACATTTTGCCTTCCTCAGCTCTGAATCAGGGGAAGAAAGGAAATGACACATTTGTTCTAAAAAAGAAAACAATCAAAAAGACTTTTTAACATAATTACTATGAAGCTGCATACCTATGTATGTGGCAGAAACAGCAGCATTAAATATGAATATGCTGGAGGGTGGAAGAGAGGGGTAATTGTTAAAACACACCAGTACAGGTTTTATCCTTGAATAAAGACTAACTTTGTCAGCAGATGGGTGCTCAGTGAAACAAAAGACTGATCCTTTCACTGAGGAGTGACGCTAACATTAATGCCCTTCTCAACTTAAATGCCCCTCCTTGGAACCAAACCACAAGAGTGCTTGAGGAAGGATACTAAGTGTGGATAAAACAAAAAGCAACAAAGTGAATAATGGGAGAGTGAGATCTTGCTTCTCTGATGGAACGTTCTGCATAAACTTGCTTCTTTCTTGTCTTTGCTTGCAGGTATGTCAGCAGAGGAATTGTTCCACTGTGAAGTCACAGAGATTGGCAATGATAAAAGAAAATTTTTTTTCTTCTTTCACTCTTAAAAACTTTTTATTTTTCTAATCCCCACAAAGGACTAGCTTAAAGTTAAAAACTAACATCATATTTCCTTTTCTGAAGTCTTTTTTCAGATTGAGGGAGACCCTCCTCTTCCTGATTTCACTGTAGCTGGTACACAACTCCCTTAGGACGCTTACCTAACTCCATACTGCCATCGTTGGTTGCATGTATATAGCCTACCAGTGGGAACTCCTGATACAGGCCGCCTTATTATTTTGCTTTTTATTCTCGGTGCCCTGTACCGTGTCTAGCATACTGCAGTTCAATATATAGTGAAGAAATTTACCACTCTCTGTTGCTAATTCTTCATTCACAGGCAACCAAGTACTTTACAAAAACTTTTAAACAAATTTTTCTTGCCTCTCTTCATTTAAATGAACCTAATTTTAGAAGAGCTCATCCAGCATTTTTGATAAAGAACAAACTAAATATGCAAATATTTAATATGGGAGATTTTTAAAGGTTTTTTTTCCCCATTTTACCCTATCCTCAATCTCCAAAATTTTAGAACACAGTATTGGATAGACACCTTTAATAGTTCTTATTTCTTTGACTCCCAATGAGTCTGTGATTTAAATATTCTAACAGTGAATTACCTAAGAGAGATCCCCTCATTAGCAGCAGCTGCCACAGTCACTGGGATGTATGAGCTGAAATCTCATGGATGAACTAAACCTAGAGTAACCTGAGGGGTGATACCAGGCACCAAAGCATTCATTGCTCATCTTCACACAGAAGCCACATAATTACAGTTAATCTTGACCCCCCCTTTTTTAAATTTTGTTATCATTAATCTAAAATTACATGAAGAACATTATGTTTACTAGGGTCACCCCTTCACCAAGTCCCCCTCCCCACAAACCCCATTACAGTCACTGTCCATCAGCATAGTAAGATGTTGTAGAATCACTATTTGTCTTCTCTGTGTTGCACAGCCCTCCCCATTCCCCACCCCCCATATTATACATGCTAATTGTAATACCCCTTTTCTTTTTCCCCACCCTTATTCCTCCCTTCCCCTCCCATTCTCCCCAGTCCCTTTCCCTTTGGTAACTGTTAGTCCATTCTTGGGTTCTGCGATTATGCTGCTGTTTTGTTCCTTCAGTTTTTCTTTGTTCTTATACTCCACAGATGAGTGAAATCATTTGGTACTTGTCTTTCTCCACCTGGCTAATTTCACTGAGCATAATACCCTCTAGCTCCATCCATGTTGTTGTAAATGGTAGGATTTGTTTTCTTCTTATGACTGAATAATATTGCATTGTGTATACGTACCACATCTTCTTTATCCATAGATCTACTGATGGACTCTTAGGTTGCTTCCATATCTTGGTTATTGTAAATAGTGCTGTGATAAACAAAGGGGTGCATCTGTCTTTTTCAAACTGGGCTCCTGCATTCTTAGGGTAAATTCCTAGAAGTGAGATTCCTGGGTCAAATGGTATTTCTATTTTGAGCTTTTTGAGGAACCTCCATACTGCTTTCCATAGTGGTTGAACTAATTTACATTCCCACCAGCAGCGTAGGAGGGTTCCCCTTTCTCCACAACCTCACCAACATTTGTTTTTGTTTGTCTTTTGGATGGTAGCCATCCAGTAAGGTGATATCTCATGTGGTTTTAATTTGCATTTCTCTGATAACTAGCAATGTGGAGCATCTTTTCATGTGTCTGTTGGGCATCTGAATTTCTTCTTTGGAGAACTGTCTGTTCTGCTCCTCTGCCCATTTTTTAATTGGATTATTTGCTTTTTGTTTGTTGAGGAGCGTGAGCTCTTTATATATTTTGGATGTCAAGCATTTATCTGTCATTTATGAATATATTCTCCCATACTGTAGGGTACCTTTTTGTTCTATTGATGGTGTCCTTTGCTGTACAGAAGCTTTTCAGCTTGATGTAGTCCCACTGGTTCATTTTTGCTTTTGTTTCCCTTGCCTGGGGAGATATGTTCA